GTTATTGTAGCTCATTTCAGAATAGCAAATAAAGCCACTTGCGGGAATTTAAACAAAAGAAAGAGGACTTGAGTTACAGAAGGTTACTGTAAGTGGAGGCCCTATTTCACTGAGCTTTCAAGTGTTAGATCAGTCAGTGCAACATTAGACTTGCAGGGAGAATAGAAGTATGGAAAAAATAAAAGCAGATACCTCTTTTAATGTCTCATATTCCCTTTGTGAAAGCGAAAAGCTCCAGCTGAAGAAAAAGAACTACTGGTTATTACAGATGTGAGCCAATGGCTTAAACATCACTAACTCACACAGCTCAGCTATTTAATGTTCTATTTAAATACACATCCGGTAATTTTGCCTGGTACAGTGTTACTTTTTCTATTTGAGATCACCAATCAAAAGTACAATAAAAAGTTTGATGAAAGGGCAAAAAATCTTTCGTGACAACACCTTGTTCATATATGACTTGTTTCCTAAAATTGAGGTCCTTAGTGACAATTCCATTCTCGACCTTTTGTTCATTCCAGGTTGCATGCACACTGTAATGAGATGCCTTGCTTAGTTTCTTATATTCTATGGCATGTCATTATCTTTTAACATATTTTTCTGTCCTCACTTCACAATGCAGTAGGAGTCATTCATTTAAATCCAACTGCAGTTATCTATTGCTATTGAATTTTTATCTTACAAAAACTTATTTAAAATCCACAATCTCATGACAGTAAACAGAAATGGCTTTTGAAGGATTTTGAGAAGTGGAAGCGAAGTTCCTTCTGGAAACAAATATAATAGACAAGGCATCTGCAAATAGCATGGAAATGCAAGACGGAAGAACATTTCACGTATTTTGCACCTTAAAGTTTCCTAATGGAACAGGCCAAGGAAAGTAAACCTGTTCCAAGATAAGTATATGGTATGAAACCTTATGTGTCTCATTTCTTCGATATCATTGAAACGCAACTATGCTGTGTACTTCTAAGTTGTGTACAGGGCACTAGAAGGCAGAAAAGCAGTACTTGCAAGTGATTGTTAGGGAAAAATATTACATTTCAGGCACAGAACATTAGAATTTTAGAATGAATTACCTGCGTGCCTCTGCTGAATGTGTAATTCCCACAGAAGTTCCAATTTTTGTACAAAGGCACAGAATACAAAATCTAATTCTTTTTTTAAAGAGTAGCAAATGGAAATCCTTTTACTGAGAAATATCACAGCAAAATCTGAACAGAAAGTTTGCACGTAGTATATTTCAGTGGGAAATGACATCTTTTTCTTGCTACATATGCATTTGATGACAAAAACTAATGGAGATGACAAACTACACTAATGTAGTTATGCAAAGTAAATCAGAGTTCAATAAACATATACATGCACTTCCATTTCCCTACATTCTTTACTTCAAGTTCAACTGTAGTTAAGGTTCTCAACACTTACTATTTCAGAGAACGTGCTAATATTTAAACACGGAAAAGATAAAGAGAGAACAGGATGCAAGAAAAATTCTTGTGTCTGCTTTCCAGACATGCTAGTCAACAGTAATTTCAAAATGTAGATTATTTTGATTTTATGGAGAGTAGAAAAATGACCTCTCTCTTGAAGCTCAAGTGGGACACAGTTGCTACTCCTTTCTTGGACTATCTCTTCAGCTATGCATTGCTCAAGCTGGAATATACCCAGTTTAGAAGCAGATGGACAGAAAGACATACGCCTTCCTTAAAAATGAAAGACTTATGTAATAGAGAGCTTTAAAATTCCAGCCCATCTTGTCAATCACACAAGAAATGGAAAATGCTGATGAAACAATTTGCAATATGTCTTCTTTATGGTAATTGGCTCTAACTGTCAAATTTTAAAACAGATATTTAGGGAAGAGTTTCTTGGAAAAGCTGAACTGCAAAACTTGCTAGAAACCACACAGCCAAAGAGAAGACCAGTTGGTTAGTATTCATATATGCTGCTGAATTTCAACTTCTCAGGTTCAGGAAGAGCTGCCAGACACTTTGAGGGTGTTCTGGCACTTGAAATGATTTAAATATTGTGTTTTTTTCTCCTCTCATTTAAAATTACAGAAAAGATTTTTCTAGTCAGTGTACACACTCCATGTTCCAAACACCCTACTTCGTAGTCATAGGGGTATATAACCACTGTGAATTAGTTTATTCTATTCTGAGTTCCCAAGAATCACACATATCTAATGGAAAGCAGCAATAATGCTGTAATCAAGTACAATTAAGGCATGTTTGTGACTCTAAATCTCAAATTAATGTTGAATTCCATAATCTATTCCACAGAACTATTTAGCCATAGAGCAGAGATGAGGTGCAGAATTGTTTCACACAGAGTATTCTCCCCAAAGTCACATACACTCTGTATGAGCACTATTGAATGCATTGACATTTGCAGGCCAAATTCAAGTTTGGGTAAGCTGAGCCAAATCAAGGTTGAATTCAGAGTGATTTGCTTTTATCAAAATCATTGTTTTTCCCATCTTTTCGGGTTTCAGTTAATATCACAAATGGAATCAGCATGCTTTTGTTAATTAGTCTGATTGCTTAAGACCATGGTTATCAGTAAGTAAAAAAAAACAAACTTCAGAATAAACTAGAAATTGCCTTGGGAACCCAAAGCTGCTGCCCTAACTGCTGCCTGCATTGCTGCCATAACTGCAGCTGACCCCTAGGAGGGATCGGAGCTAAATTTTATTACCAGTTCAGTTGTGAATAAAGACTGCTTGCTGCTATTTGTAGGAGGAATTTACTTTTCCTTTATTTGCTTAGGTCCAATTGCTGAATATAAATTTATTAATGAATTTGGTGGAAGAAGGAAAATGCTGCCAAGACCTTGAAAACAACAGTATGCAGAGTTTTAATCACTACAGATATCATACCTATGTGCTAGACTTACTTTTCTGGTGAAAACTAGCTTAAGTTTAATTAATTTATACCATCAGGAGATGTGAAGCATAGCTGCTGATTTTGCAGCTCCTGTATATAACCCAATTTTGAAGAAATATCTGAAGCATGGATTTCACCTGAATTACTGGGAGCAATTTGGCTTAGTTACTGCTAAAATGTTACCATCACAGCCAGACTGGGTTGCTGGGTGTCCTTTTTATAATGAAGCTTTTCAAATCATCATCTTAAATACAAAATATAACATCTCCAACTGTGTTAATTTAATGGTAAATTTAATCCTAAGTATGCAGAGCAAAGCAGTGCTAAAGGAAAAATAAAATTCCTGAAGGTTTACCTCTGGTATCTGCTCTAAAATATTATTTATAATTTTAAATTTTCTAGAAAGTTAATCCATATGGATACACAAATAAATAAAGGCACAAATGCATATCTATATGAAAACATTGTCTCACACCCACTCATCAAAACATACGTTTTGTCAATTGCACGTAGCTTCATGTATTGAACAACATTTCTTTATTATATTATTTGTTTGGAACAGGATATTTGACATTTTTATTTTATATGCTGTTCCTATCAGTAATAAAAAATCATTCTGAATACAAATAAAGATAAGACTATGCAACCTCATTATCAGCCTGACCCACAAGTTTTTAATGATAATTAATCTTACAAAGCTGAATCAAGCTGTTATTAATTTTACATTTTTTTTTTTTTTAACTGAAATTATGGTTATCTTATTAAACTAAACAAATAAATAAGCACAGGTCCAAGATGTAAAATACCATTTCTCTTCCTTCTTTATCATACATTCCCAGCAGCCAATCACCATGTACTGTTCTAAAAAAACTAGTTTCCTTTTACTGGAAATATTACAGAATCACAGAATAGTTTGTGTTGGAAGGGACATTTAAAATCATGTAGTTCCAACTCACTGCTGAAGGCAAAGACACCTCACTCTAAACCAGGTTGCTCACAGCCCCATCCAGCCTGGTCTTGAACGCTTCCAGGGAGGTGGCATCCTCAGCCTCATTGGGCAACCTGTTCCAGTGTCTGACCATCCTCACAGTAAGCAATTTCATCCTAATATCTAATCTAGTTTATAGCTGATAAACAGTATAGATCCATGTTTCTGGTAATAAGATCTCTTATACATTAACAGGATTGTGAAAGTAATATTTTGGAAAGTTTGAAAGTAGGTTCTGTTAGAGGAAGGTTTGTCTGTGAAAATATTAGCCTACTTAGAATCAGAAAGACCAATTTTTATTCAGAAACTATTTTACTGACTGAGTTGCAATATTTCTGAAACAAAAGATATTAATGATGACATACATACTCTGTTGATGGGAACTCTTGACAACAAACAGCAAGAAAGAACTATACAAGCAAATAAGGGAAAAGAAAACAGCAGAAACATCTTTCAGGAAATACTGCAGAACATGATAGTGTTTACAATCATTTAAGCAAGGCCATATTCCCCTGAACTAGTGAGTGGGCAATATCTGGCTTGCATGCCAAATACAAACCTCCAGAAAAATTAACAAGCCCCTAGTCTATGTTTTCCCTAACGGCTTTCCTCAGAGGAAGCTGGAAATAACATGGCCTACAAACTCCAGTCATATTAATTTCAGTGCTGGAGGCAATGTATATACTCTCTAGCAGAAAAAAAAAAAAAAAATTATATTGAAGAAAGAAGAATTATTGATCTCCTTATAAAGTTTATATGAAGAAAAAGCACTGCATGCAGCAGGGACCTGAAATGAGGGTTCTAGGCTATCAGCATCCTTGTGTTTGAGAGCAGAAAAGCCATCATAAAGGGTAAGAGCATCATCTGAATGGATGTGAATTGAGGATAGAAGGGCTGGTATGGCATTTAGAACTGAATCATGTCAGGTCAAATATGATATCTTAAAAGAAGTAGGGGCAAGGACCAGGAAAAGTCGTGGGATCAGGAGAAAACAGAAGATTGGGGTAGAAGTGGAAAACTTTCCCTCGTTTTTATTTAGCACTGCTAACTTGCAGAATAAAACAGTCTTAGGAGTCTACAAACCATAATATTTGTAGATTGTATGTCGAGTTGTTTATATTTACCTTTCTAGCCAGGGAATCAATTCAGATTCTACAAGCTCAGGAATCCTTCCCTCTCATGTAAGTAATCCAACAGTTTATTTCTTCTGAACATGTAGCGTCCAAACCCTGCAGCAGCAGATGATTTCTGAAAGAGAGAAGAATTTTCTCCTGAAAACTCTGTACATAGCACTTCTGGGAAAAAGATACTTACAAAATTTCGGTTGTTACAAGGAAAAATATCTTTAATATATCAATTCAAAACAAATGCAAAATTCAAAATCACTAGATTTTATTGTTCTGAACGCTTGAGTTACAAACTTGTTAAGGTATACATTGACAGTATCAGTGGAGTAGACTACATAATACGCATTTCCAAAAAATAAACATAATTATAAAAACTATGTCACACATATGTAGTTCTATATGCTAGTGGAGAAGAGACATATAGTAATTTAGAGTGATATACAGTAGTAGATCATAGTAAATTGAAGTATGTGCCAAATAATCTCCCCTAAAGGAAATCATCCATATTGAGTAGACTGAAAACTGACTAAGGGACGATAATCAAAGCATTTGTATTCTCCTTACCTGGAGAGCCCTGTAACACAAAACATAACAAATAAGGCTTCCACAGAATATATTAAAAAAAAATGAGAAGTGTTCACGAATAAATTTAAAAAATAAAAGATCGTGCTTGTATCAGCACTTCTTCAGCTGAATTGAAGGTACAAACAGAACTCATCCTGATTTTAATGCAGCTTTTAACACAGTGAATCGGTGTAGTGGACAAATGACAAACGAGAATATGCAATCTACCATTGCTTTGCACAGGAAAATGGAGCACGTACAACATTCAGAGGCCATAGAAGTTGTTTCACAGAGTTCTAGTGAATAATTCTGTTGTTTATTCTGTTCTGGATTTGTTGCATGTCCTTAGGCATTTGTTTTCACTATGGCTCCATTTCACTATGGATAGAAATAATGTTTATAAATGAATGGTGTTGAAGTTTTTTGTGTCTAGTAGAGAGTGGATAATATGAATAAGGAACACTCTCAGCAGTCCATTTTAATTAGGGCTGCTGAGATGCGTATAATTCGGATAAAACAAAACACAGTTATGATCACTAAAATGAAACTTGACAAGTGCTATACCTAAATTCATGCTTGGTTGTTGGCGTGCTGGGAAAGAAACATTAATCATACAAAATATACCTTGTTCAGCTACAGGCTACACAGACAGAACCATGTACTGAATATAGGGTGTACTTTGCTCTTGGGACAAAGTTTACCAAGAAATACTGATGTTTTCATAATTTCCTGCCCTGGCATCACTGTGGCAAAATCAAGAGGCTGCCATGTAAGCACATATGTTTTAGGAGATGCCAGCCTCTTTTGCCTTCATATTGGTGAAGGAGAACCTGCCAGGTGTCTCCATGGATTCAGAGGTGAGAATTTCATGGTGTGGCTAAGGATGGGTCTAAATGTGTCAGTGCAATTCACTTAATGTTTTACAGTGGCTCAGACCTCAAAGAGAGAAACAAATGTTAACCAGCAAGTCATTCAGTGGCACACAGATAGGCCTCATTTGTTAGATACATATCAATAACTGCTGTCAGATAGCCCAGAAGCCTATTTTAAAGGAAAAGACAAATTGTGTGTATCCTGAGATCTAACTGACAATACGTAACTTGGAATTCTTCCAGCAAAAAAAAATTCCAGCAAAAAAAAAAAAAAAAAAAAAAGAAAAAGAAAAAGATGTGGATATGATCTAGAAAGTCTAAAAAAATCCTTCTCATTTTTAGAATGCTTATATTTCCTATACTCACATATGCACACTTGCTTGCAGTGAAGAGAAACTAATTTTTGAGGACAACGGTAATATTAAGATACATGGATTTTCATCATCAACACCAACTTAAATAAATGTACACCACTTTACACCCACTATATATCTGACTAACTATGTTATTGTGTTGTGTTATAACATTTGGAAATAAATTATCCCAACTTTTTCTAAAAACTAACTTTTAAAAATCTCTTTATTTCAATCTATCCAGAATTTTCAAACATTAAATTATTCACTGCTAAAATGTTGCCATTTTAATTCTGAAGTCAAACACTACAGACCATTTTTGCGATAATCTAGGTAAAGCTTTTCATTCCCATTTGTAATTAACAAAGTGAGCAGCAGTTTACAAATGCAAAATAAACATCACAAGTGTTCAAAGACTGTCTGTGAGATACAAACAGAATTAATTACTCTTACAGCTAAATTGAATGAAAGGCTTTTAAATTGCCCTTTTTCTTGAAAACTTCAGGTTTTAAAATGCATCAGAAGGACTATCTTCTTTCTACAGTCCCTGCAACATTGCATTAAATTTCATGGAATACCAGCAACTTTTAAAAAGCCACCATTTTCCTTCAGCTGAGCATAAACATTGAAATGCAAATTGATGTATAAAAATTGCCTGCAGTGCTTGATGTAAATTAAAATTACTCCTATAAATTCAATGTTCAAATTATCCAACAACTGCTGTTGTATTAATTTTGCTGCTGAATACATTAAATAACTGTAGATTCATTTTCTTACTAAAGTCACGCTTACTTTAGATGCTGGTCAGGAGGAACTACTAAATACACCAATAATCATTTAGTATTTTAAGGCAGGCATTTCTTTAATGATCTTCCTAGAATTGTTTTTTTTTTCCTCCAAATTATAAAAATTAATGACAAAAACTTCTGTAAAGTGAACAAGTAGCAGTTCTTTTCTAGAAAACACCAACACTGGCCCCCAGGGAGCCTTTTCTGCTTTTTATAGGCAAACGAGAGTATTTCTGAACTACAAATTAAGGTAGCCTTAGAAACGTAGACATGCAGACATGGGTTTATCAAAATAGATGCATGGTCAGGACCATGAAGGTGAGGACTAAATATTTAAAACAAACCCTAGGCCACAGAAGAGAACAGTAGCAGAATTAAAATTTAAGTCTCTGCACTCCAACACTATTGCTTAAGTTTCTAGACTAAACATTTTTCAAGACAGTTGCTAGGGCTGTTATAAATGAGATAAAGTCACTTCACCCTTTTCCTCCCTTTTTACTCTGAAGCTTTCAGACACTAGAAGTGGGTGGATGTGTCTCATGCTTCTGCTTACTCTAGCTTAGCACAGCTCTGTTATACTGCTGAAAATAGACAGGAAACATTTATTTGAAGGCACATTTTCCTCTACTTTTTTTTTTAATATAGCTAAAAAGTCTAACTCTATTCCCTAGGTAATTTTCTCCCCAGTCAATACTGATTTCACAGATTTTCATTCTCTTAGCAGCCTTTTCCAGGTGATGTATGTGAGGAAAGCCAGAGCCTGTGGTGGCAGTAAGGCAGCATCCACACCGATAAGGTAGCCACAGGCACACAGTACCACTGCCTTGAACATGGCGAGTAGAACAGGTCCAGGGCCAGAAGCATGTCCAGCCATGCTTCATCAATGGCCAAGGAGATCCAGAATGGTGAGGTGTAGAGCTGGGGAGGTGCTGAGCGAGCCGGGGTTGCACAGACATAGCACTGGGATCCATCTGATTGATACAGGATATCACCGTCTCACTCTCCTACCTGGCTGCTAAATCAAGCTCTATGTCAAGTTTCTGGCAAATACATTATGCTCCCAGACACTCAAATGAAAGCTGGAGCCAAGATCCATTCTCTTTCATTTTCTTTTAGCCACAGGGCACTTGGGAAAGAACATGATAACTTTTAACCAAAACAGCATAAATAAAAATATTTTCAGTCGATTATTGAAAAAAATTGCAGATATTTTCATGTAAAATTAATTTTCCTAGTTTTACTAATCTTAATGCTTTGTTCTTTTTCTTGGAAATTTACATTAGGACAAAACGTTCTCAGAACAGTTTCACCAGCTCTAGTACTGTTTATATGCATACAACGTAACATATTTTGTGTTCTTATTGTTTTATAATTTTCAACTTTCAAAATGGATTAGATTTTGTTTACGTATCAACTCTGTAACTCTATTCTCACCTTCTTTCTAGATCTTACACTATCTTACAGGCAGAAACAATAGGGTCAGAGACAGAGAAAGGCTTACAATGCAGAAACCCCTTTGCAATTGAGTTTGTACCTTATGCTGAACAATTTCATAGAAAGCTTTCACCAGTCTGGATTACTATGTTCAACAAATCCAAACTGCAAATGACTTTGGATGTTTAATATGTCAGTGTAAATTTTGAGTACAGTTCAAGAAATCACTGTATAAATTTCTACAAACATTTACACATTCCCTCATGTTTCTATTTCTAGCTAAATAAAAGAGAAAGCAGTTGCTGGAGAAATTTCATATTTATAGTCTTGCATCTCCTTCACAGCCTAACTTAGAAAGTCTCACCTTTAATTAAGGAATTTATCCAGCTCACAAAAGAGTTTAACACAAATTCTTCAGTCTTGACTGGTTTCAGAAGTTTTATTAAAGCTGCAGAAAATTACAAAATCAAGTCACGTACCTAATTCACCACATTTTCCACCTTACTTCATTTTCATGCCACAACTTGTTTACAACAAGACAACCCTGTTTAAAGTGGAAAAAACATTTCTATATGCACTGTAGGAAGTCAGTGATAAGCAGAAAAACAGGTATTAAATTCTTTTTTTTCAAGGTTATATCACTGAATATCACCAAAGTACTTACCTTTCCAAACCTCGAGTCCTTTCCTTTGGACTTTTGTAAACATTTAGAGGGAGATTTGATTACATTTCCCTTTGCTCTCTTACCAATCTCTTCTGCTATCTGAGTTCTTAAATGCCAGGGGAAACAAAAAATGTGTTTCTGCATTTCCAAGGGATGTCTTTCATCCCTCGTTATCTCAGAGTAACCAACTTGAAGGCATGTGCAGTAGCTTCCAGTCCTGACTTTCTCCTCCGTCTTTCGCCATAGTAATCACAAGCAAAACAAATAACTTCAAAATGTTGTAAATTTGCAATGACACTTTCCTAAGTGTTGGAAGGGGGAATTACTTCTACTAGTCAAGCTTGTTCCCATAAAAGTGAACTGATTGTTTCAGTCCTAACTACTGTAGAGCTTTTTAAGACCTCTGTTGCCTGTGGCTAACAAACTTCTCAATTCTCTC